GCCACCCGGGCAGAGCGGCTCTGCAAGCGCCAGGCTCGGAGCCGCGGGGCTTCCCCGCCGCGTTGAAACAGACCCTCCAGCGCCAGGAGGCAGCGGGAGGAGCTGCGCACTGGGACAGAGCAGGGCAGGTGCCCTTCTCCTCCTTCGGGTACCTGCACAGGCAGGAACAGGCAACCAGCCAGCAGAGACCCCCTATCTCCTGCCAGAGCATCGATGCAAACTCAAAGCTAAGTCTGCACTGGGTCACCAATGCTTCCCCAGACCCTTTCCTTGGGCTTCTGAGCTATGTTTGAGAATGAATTGGTGAGAGTGAAGGTCCCTTTTCTAGGGGAGATGCTGTAAGTTTACAGTTTATATAGTTTATAGTTACATATAACGCAGGTTATGTGGACATGGAACTGTAAGTGTTCCGTGCAGTTACTTCAGGTACTTTTTCTCAGACAGCTTTGAGGGGAACAGGCGATACAGCGCAAAGCATCTTCCCAGCACCAAGGGAAGGTGCTGACTACGGAACAGCCTGGTACAGACAGAGAAGTTGCAGCTTTCCCTCCCGGTACACACCATCTCTGGAAAACATCAGAAGGACCTTTGTTATGGCCTGACACCACAGGTGAGGCAGCTGCAGCACCGTGTCTGTACAGGGAAGCAGACTCTTTTCAGAGATAAACTAAAAGGGACGCTTAAAAGATGACGAAGCCCCCCCTCCAGCAAGACACGAGACTTGCAAATCTTGTCTCACCGACACCCAGGGGATTATCCGGAGGTCTCAAGTCTCAAAAGCCACGTGTGTGCTCTAACGAGAGCTGAGGGTGACCCTGGGCCGGGGCGGGCGGTTACGCTGCTGACGCCGACCCTGGAGTCGTGACACGGGAGGAGAAGCGCCAAGAGCTGCTGGTGACGGATGCGGTGGCACCACTTACAGCTGCCCGGACCAGGCAGGGCCACCGAGCAGGCCCGTTGCAAGGTGGATTTTCACACAGACACACGAGGAACCCGGTAGGAGCCCCCGCGCACACGGCCCAGAGCCGCCCCCACGGGTTGTCCGACGAGCTCCACCCGCCACAGGACGCGTGCTGCCTCCCGCTGCCGACCTGCACGCTCCCGGTGCCAAGACACAGCACGGGGTAAAGAAGCACCAGCCTTACACAAGTAGAGGACTACAGATTCTTTGATTAGTAATGGGAAATAACCCTCTGCAGCGTTAAACAGGGTGAAAAACAATTAAATACTAGGAGACATTTACAGTCAGATAACTCCATGCAAGTCTGTGATGAAAACAAGTTGTTTGCAGCCTCCCTGGTTACGGCTCTTGGGTTCCTGACACAGAATCTCATCTGACCTCTTTTGGAATGGCTGAAGGAGATAAAGAGCAGGTACAAAACCACCAAGAAGCAAAAAAAAAATCCTCCCCCTCCAGTCTATTCTGTAACAGAGTTGGCCAATGAAGTGGGACAGCGTAGGGGGGTACAAGTTACACAGAGAGGAGTGTTAGATCGTTCCGATGTCAACGATGCCGCCAGTACAACTGCAATGTTGGCTTCCTTCAGAGCAACAAATTCATGGAGGTGGAAATTACCTGCCTGCCTCCGGGCACGGCTCAGGGCCAGCTGAACAACTACAGAAAACCTCAGTGGACTTTGCAGGAAAACAGAACAAAAAATGCCCAATTGGGTAATAAAGAAGGTACAAGCCAGGCAGCAAAACTGACTCAGCGGTTTCATCTGCGTTTTCTGACGCTTCTGAACAACCGCTTTTTTTTTGGTCCCCCACGCCTCCTGATGAATTACAGACCATTCCCCTCCAGGCTGGAATGATGAGGCCGCTGCAGGCTGGGAGAAGAGCAAGGTTAAGGTTTCGGTTTGGCAGGCGCCGCGTCACAGGCGTGGCACTGCTGCCCGCCGCAAGCGCCAGGCGCCACCTCCGGGGGGGCAGAGCCGGGGCCGTGTGTGCTGGCGTTTCGCT